ACAATATTTTGAATCTCACGACCAAATTTGGTAATGATTTTCTTTTAATGTAATATGTTCGTTAAACTTTTTTGTTGCAAAGAACTTTTATTTATTAATAAAAAAAAGGAAATAAATAAATCAAAAAAAAAGCTGTTACACGAAATTTACTTAGTCTCAATTTTTTAAGTGTGGACTATTACATTTGTTATTTTATCTTTTGTTTGAATGAGAAGATGCACTTTTTATTTTTATAATTGCTGAAAAAAAAGTTTATTAGTAAACTTTATATGGGGCATACTGCAACAAAACCAGACAAAGTGAACATTGGTGTTACCTAAAATTTTAGGGATCAAAATTATTTAACAAGTATATTATTAATATAATGTGATTTCAATGTTATAGTTTATAGTTCTCATAATTTTCAGTTTATTTTTATTCTATAAATTTTTAATTGCTCAATAATCTTTTATCACTCATTATTCAATATTCTAAATGTAGTAAATTTAACTATCTTTTTGAATACGTTTACGTCTTACACGTCCTTGCTCAGCAAACGTGTATGGTTTGGAATGAACTAAGCTGCATCGATCTCGGTGCAACTGTGATGCCTTGACTACCAGCTCATCCCGAATAGTCACAATGTGGTTTAAAGTTGACTATAAAAAAAATGATTAGTTGAAGTTCCATTGAAACAACCAACAGAATGGTGTCAGAGACAAACCTCTATTCGCAACAGCAATGTTGTTAACTTTTCAATCATTAATAATTGATTGTTTGATTGAGGCAACTTTGTCTTCTTCAAGAGGCCTAACCGCCACAGTCCTCTTGCCTTCCAATCCAATGCATACAAGTTGTAGTAAAAACCTAACATCCCATAAAATTTACTCAGATACCCATTTATATAAAGTCAAAAAAAAAAAAAAAAAAAGACTCGCCATAAGAATGTACGCCAAGTGTATACAATTTCCTAAAGTCTTTACATCCCACACCATTGTTTTCTATTGCTTCCTGGAGCAAGACATCACGCATAGCAACCATGAGGTCGACTTTATCATTCCATCTTTTTGAACTACAGGCTTTGGGTAGTCCTCCTGATCGCAGTCCAATAACTGCCTCAAAGCCATCACAAGTAATCCTGAAATCACAACGTTGCCCAATCAACGATCTGTCAACTAGTTTCTTATTTAGGTTTGCAATCATTGCTGATGCAAGACTCTGTATTTCTCCTCTAAAAATGATATTGTCAGCAAATAAAGAAAAATATTTTCATACTTTCCGTCAGGAAAAAAACCACTTAACTCATCATACACAAATTTCTGATGATAAGTGATAACACCCCTGGTCATCATATTGGTAAAGTTATTTGAGAAAGAACCTTCTGACATGGATACCTTCGATCGATCCAGATTATAGGCACTGCATACCATATTGTGAGAATGTTCAATAAACAATTACGATATAAAGACAAAGATCAAATGGAAAACATACTATGTTTGAACCAATCTTCATATTACATTTATCTTTGGACATCCCTAAAATCAAAATGCATAAGTTTCAAAAATCAAAATACACAAGTTTTAATAGATTAATATTTAGGTAACGTGTACCTTAATGATACATTCTTCAATATCCGTGACAATATCGTCTGATTTTCTCTTAAGTATATATCATAAAACTAAAAAAAAAAGAAGTGCAAGCAAATTAGATTTAAATAATCACTTTAACTTGTATAATGTATAGATAGATAAAGTTGAAATCATGTAGTTACCCACAAAAAAGAGCAGAAGGAACAAATGGTAAATTAAATATTTTATAATTATCAAATTGCACAATGAATATAATAATAACAAATACTTATTATGTATCTGTTACTCAAGTGCGAGAGCAGCAAAGAAAATTTTGGAGAAGAAGCAAGCAAAAGCAATTTTAGGAGAATGTTTATTATAATTATTATTTATTTTTATTATTAAAAATGATCTACATTTCACCCAATAAAAAATCCTTACATATAGTTTTTTATAAGTGTGCTCAACTATGTTTGTGTTTATACTGATGTGTAACACCCCAACGTGACATGCATGTCACTGGCGCAGTAAGGTGGCGCAGTAAAGAATCATTTACAGAAAGAAATAGCTTGATTTGAATAAAATAATATGGTTTTATTGATTAAGATAAGTGTATATTTTTATAAAGCTCTGCTATTTTTTTTTAGAATTTCAATAATTACATAATCAATATTATCTTGACTTAAGTTTGAAATTATTGATGCAGAAAACCTTTTTATACTTCCTATTCTTTCTTTACCAATACTAACAAATAGATCATATATTTTTCCTGCTCTTTCCTTTCTTTTTTTCAATGCATCATTGGCAATATCATTGGGAAGTTGTTTTCAGATCTCATCATTAACAAGAGCCAGACACGCACATTCCCCATGCTTCAAATTTTTCTGTAATGATCAAAACGTTTTTTTACGGCTACACCAAAGTTGTAATAACATTTTAACTTCCCTATTTGCAATTATATGTCTAGATTCAGCATGTAAAATTTTTCTATAGTGATATAAAAAATTATTGGCATTCTCACTGACTTCTATTACTTCCTCAGGACTTTCGGGTGCAGTAGTTAATAGTTCTTCAATAAGTTTTTTCAACATAGGAGAGTCTTCTTTCTTCTTTACCAGTTTCTTAGCTTTTTTACTGGAGGGCTTATCAGCAGATGTAGGATTCCCAACATGCTTGGATGGTAAGATGTTTGCAGATGATGTATTAGTGATTGTATCGGGATTAGTGGTAGCAGTAGTGACAATATTGGAGTTGGGATCAGTTGATTGCAAAGCTGAATCATCTTCCTCATCGTCTTCTTCCATAACTTCATCCACCATATCAAGAGAACTAATTCCTAGATTTTTTTCTAGATTGCCAGTTATTGAGGATATTCCACTCGACTCAGAATCACGCCTAGGAAATTCTATCAGGTCAAGTTTTTCATCGCAATTAGGATAAGGACATACATTCGGATAAGCAAGTAAAATCTTTTTTTCAAGACAAAGTCTATGAAACGCATGTCCACATTTCAATGTTGTGAAAGATTTGATATGAGGAGACGAAATAATTTTCTTGTCGCATTCTGAACAGTTCAGCTCTGATAAATCCTTACCACTGACAATGGGATCTTCGAATTCTTTTAAGAT